ACTGTGTCCCAAATCCGTCGCTTTCCTGAGGACATCGTCACCCATACGGTAAGCGCTTCTTAGGACCTCAGCTTCAATGAATAAATGTAACGGCTTCAGCCCCAGGAGTGTCTCCTACTTTGCAACAGGAACTTTGTTCAGGGACTGTCAAGAACTTTGGGTATCATAATAATAGATAATGGATAATGTCCACCGCAGTTGTGGACGAAACGTCAGGAGGAAATTCCCATAGACCACGACTTCAAAGCCCGGAAAACATTCCTAAATGTGATTTAACCGGCCGTGAAAGCCTTTTGTTGTATGCTAGAATTATTTCATCTTCCAGGCTTTTTGCTGCTTGATCCACGCCATTTTTGTCATCTATCCTTCGAATAGCGATTAGTTGCTGTGTTGGTTCTGTGAACGTTGCCCAGTTGGTTGTAGTTAGAGTAGCCTCCTAGGTTGAGCATTATTGGATTGTGGTCCGAGCATCCCTCCTCGAGAGCCTCGATACTTGCTGTTTGCCTCGTGTTCTTGAGGATGGCGATGTCTAGCACTTCCGGAGTCCCAGCTCCTGTTGGCAACCTAGTGAGGATATCTGGGCCTAGAATAATGCCATTCTGGGCTTCTACCGCTTCTGCTAACTTGCGGCCATTGCGGTTAATACGGGTGCTATTCCACTCCGTATGTTTGCAATTATTAGCAGGTCGCCTATTAGCAGTTTCGCTTGGTTATTTCCTAAGAGAATTTGGATATCTTGCAGGTTCAATGCTTCTTGCGGCTACTTATACACTGATGTTACTTCCAAATCAAAATCAATTCCTGGGCTTCAGTCATTTATTGTCTATTTATCAATTAAAATACGTTTCGGTGTTTTCCACCATCATCAGTTTCTCTGAAATAACAGATAGACAGACATTAATTTAAAAAACAATCACAGTTCGTCAACAGCTTCATCATATCACACACTAAAATACATCACAATTGCAACACTTTAAAACATTCTAAGACTAATTAGGCCTAACAGGTGATTAGTCAGGACAATCAATTCTGGAGAGACTAGAATTCTTTGTTCAGATACTCAATTATTTTTACTTACATTTGTAGCGTTGTTTCTACTTTAAGCCGTGGCATATATTTGGAGTATTAATTTTGTCCATTTTGCACACAAAGCGAAATACTGTTTATATTGATTTCTTTTACTTTCAGGTATTTGTCTTTGCATTCTAAGAATATTATTTTTGGTTTGCAAAATTCTTCAATATACCGGGTGTTAGTTAATATTC